TGTGTGTGTGTGAGAGAGAGAGAGAGAGAGAGAGAGAGAGAGGCAAATGTGTGCATGGTCAGGATTACAGGGTTTGGCAGTGCTTTCATACAGTATGGCCCTCAATGAATGACTAGAAGGGGGGTGGGGGCTGGCAAGGATGTTCTCAAGGAGTGGGGACCCCAGGATGAGGAAGGCTGCAAGATGGATCTCAGCTTCCTTTCTGAGGACATGCTGAGAGCCTGGACCAGTATTAATCGTGAGCACAGGCTGGCCTGTATTTCTGAGGTTATTTATTTGCACCTTCCATTTGAAAGGACACTTGGCAATGTGGTTCTGATGCAGCATTCTGTCAGTAGAACAAGGCCATTAGCATGGAGCCGGCCTAGGCCCAATGCAAATAGACCAGCAGGGACTGGGCTGGTCTGATCAGCCTTGGCTGTGCTCATGACACAGGTCTCATTCCTACACCCATGTCCTTGCCTGCATTTTTTTGACATACATTTATCATGTGTCTGTCATAGGCAAGATGCTGGTAATTCATCAGGGACTTGCACACACAACAGGCTCTAGCCTCCTGGAACTCACAAACAGAAATAAACAAACAGGATAAATAAGTAAAACACATGGTAAGTTACATAGTGACAAATATTAGAGCAAGAAAATGAAATAAGGAAAGAAAAAGAACATATCAGAGTAGTGTGAGTTACTCCGTGGTACCAAAGCAACCCCCCAAATCCAGTAGTTTAGAGCAGCGCAGTGCACTTCTCATTCATGTATGTGTCTGTTGTGGCTTGGCCTAACCCTACTCTGAACCTGAATCCCAGGCAAATAGGGGGTCTCCGTGACCAAGGAAGATCCAGTGGTCTGACACTAACTTTTAAATACCCGGCGACCTGGAGTTGACAGGCAGAGAGTTTGGTTTTGGGTCTTCTCAGATAAGCCCTATGGCCCCATCCAATCTTCCTAGGACCAGTAACCATAATCCTCCCATGTGCCTAGTAAGCAGAGGTTGGGCGTATTTGGTGATAGACATATGGGCCACCAGTGTGGGGAGTGGTGCGTACCTTTGGTAGAATAATCAGTGGTTAAAAGGCAAGGGAGGGGCTAAGAGAGGGGGCTGGGGGGAAGGCAGAGTCATGTTTTGAAGAGGAGGGGCCTAGTATGTCCCGGGTGGGTAGTTCACCATGAACTGACTTTTATGTATTTCATTCCAGTTCAACTCCTGATACGAATTTGCATTTTTACCCCACATATACTGAATTGGAGACTACATTTTAACTATAGGTGATTGTTATGTAGACATAAAAATTACCTAGGGCTCCCAATCCACAGAGAAGACCACATAGCCGGTCCCACTATGAGACACGACGTCACTGACCCATAGTCCTACAGGGGACAACACTGGAGACACAGTGTGGGAATTCCGCCCAATCTGATCCCACCACACTGAGGCAAAACACTAAGGGTGTGGAACAGAACAGCAAGGGGAGCAGAGCAACGAAGTTCCCAAGGAATACCAAAAATAGACTTTGGGGCCAGGGTTTGGCACCCCAACAGACTCAACTGGAAAACACTCCTAAAGGCCAACAAACAGTCCTTGACCTAACTACAAGCTTTTCTTTTTTATTGTTGTGTTTTGTTTTGTCTTTTTGTCATTAGCTTATTGGTGTTTTTGGTGTTTTGTTTTCTTTTGTTGCTTGGTTTTGCTCTGTCTTGTTTTTGTGCATGTTATTATCTCCATAGGTCTGTCTAAATAAGATAGACTGGATGAACAATCTGGAGGAAAAAACAATGGGATCGACAGTTCCTGGGGGACATGGGAGAGGAAGAGGTGGGGGAAAGGTAGTGGTGTTAACAAACCC